TCCCCAGTCTTTCACACTCTGCATGTAGGCAGTTGTATGAATGCAGTTGAGATACCAAGAAGCTGATACGGAAGTTGAAAGTTCATGACACTCTCATCTACAAACATATTTTATGGACAAAGAGCTCCTATGCTGGTTACAGAAGGTGCCTATTTTTCTGAGACTTCAGTGCTTGAAAAACAGACTGAAACAGGTACCCCAAGTAATCAACATACAACAGAGAAGACACGTTTTTCTGCCCCTGTTCCTCTATGGAAGGAGTAATGAAGAACTGTGCATGAGCGATCACAACGAATCACTAAGAGTAGCAAAGGGCCTTTCTTCAGAACATAAGAGGGTCATGCCAAGTGTGCTAGGCGGAACAGGTTTATTCAGAAAGAACAAATTTATAACAGGATTAAATTATTTCTGCAGTAGAATGCAAGATTTCTCTAATAATCTTTCCTTTCACATTCCTGGAAACCAGACACCCAATAAATATTTAATAATGTCCCATATTAAATCACATTCCTGCCCCCACCCCACTGGTTAGATTGTTTTTATAATACAAGATTATGAGTAACCTTCCAGCAACCAGAGACGCTGCCGAAGGGTTTTTCTGCTCTTTATTCAAGATATATACAAAATGTTACACAGATACACTATGTACACACTAACTCGTGCAAACGGGAGCTCGCAGGCCTGCTTTGCTATTGCCCCAACACAACGCACTGAGCAGTGACACTGTCAACATCAGGGCCGTGTCAATCTCATTAACGTCTCCTCTGTTCCCTGTCTGGGGGGCAGCCAGAGACATTCCGCTCTCTGGAGCCTGGAAGAATGCCGTGATTTAGTCTACATCTCACTCTGCTAGAAGACTGGACCAGGGATGGGGAGGAAGAGAGAGAGATTTAAAAAACAAAACAAAACAACTTCCCTGTGTGCTTTTTGCCTCTGGATGGATGGGCTTTTCCCCCTAGCAGACTGTACCAGAAAAGGAAAAGCTCTGGCCCAAATGGAAGAATCAATCACATTAGCAATCAGCAGAACACCTTAGAGGGGAGTGTATGTGAGAAATGGGACGCATCATCTGTGTCCCACCTTTTATCTCCAGGCAGAATCACCATGACAGACAGTTACATCACCGGTCCACCCCCCTTGACTGCCTATGTGCAAATGGACAGAGAGATGCACCCATCTCTTACAGCCAGCCTCCTATGGAGTATTCTGGCTATGCTTGGAGCAAGTTCTGGAGTTTGTCCCTGCCACATGTGCTCACTCGTGATGCCTTTTTCACTGAACAGCAACTGTACGTCCCTTCACGCTCCTACACAGATCTACTCTGCCTAGTCCTGTACCAAAGTCTTAACAGGAAAAACAATTGCTCTAAAAAACCCCAGGCTCAATTTCAGCACAACCACTGCCCAGGAAGGACAAAAGAAGACCCAGGTAGGGGTAGCTGAAATCCCAAAAGTTATCATAAAAGCCAATTTTTAAAAACTCAGTGATCTGCTTTTTACTAGGTTCCCCCATATTTAAAAAATAAAATCCAACAAAAAAGACGGCAAAGTACGTGACCTCTGAAAGCACAGGCCATAGTTTCACGCCCCCCTCCCTTTCCCAAATTAACGCACACCAACTAATCAAAAGCCCATCCCCAGAAAGAGGCCAGCGGGAAGGCTGCCCTGCCTGTTTTTAACGAGAACGAAACAAAAAAACATTCTGAAGAGCTTGCCTAGAGCTTGTCTAACCAACCGGCTATAGGGAGGACCAGACGCAGGTAGCTGACAGGATCGACATAGTACAGCAGAAAGGACCAAGATCCGTGTTGAGAGACAAGCAGTCGATCCAAACCCAAACCACCCAGATGCAGAATAAATTAGTGGGGCGATGATGGGCATATGGCTGTTCTGACCAACATGTGGAACAAAGTCATCGGCTGAGAGAAAGACTGGCTTGCCAGAAGCTGAAGCCAGGAAATCCATGTGCCCTCCTGAACGTCACAGGCCGGCAGCACACGATCCGCTTAGGAACATTGAAGGGATGGAACGATGCATGATGCCAGTCATCAGCGGAGGACAGAAAAGCCAGGACCACTCAGTGTCTCGGCGAGCCCTGTGCCACGTTTAGGGGGCAAATTAAACCACCATGATCTTGACTTCGTCGTTCTCGTCAGCCCGGTAGAAGAAGGGAATGCAGGGGTTCTCCAAGAGGGAGCCCAGCCTCTCTCGGGGATTTTGGATTTCACGCAGAAGCTGCATGATCTGCTTGGCGGTGGGGTCGTGAGGAGCAGGCGGGGGACCTTTGTCATCAGCGTGGAACCGATGGGAGGCAGGAACTGCCATCTCCTGCTCTGGCTCATCTGTCAAACTCACTTCCCGCAGTCCTGGAAGCCAAAAGGGGGAAGGTAGATGATGCTTAACTTCTAAAAGAACAACATTCTAGTTTTCATTATTAATTCAAAGCTTTTCTATGCTCCCCAAAACAGCCCCAAAACTTAAGCAGCAAGATTAATCATATTAAGACGGAAAACACTCGCTGACAGAAGGCTGAAAGCAGCACAGAAAACACATTAGATGCGGATTTAAATTTCAAAAGCTTGTGTGACCTTTGGGAACATGGATAAAGGGAGACACCTTCTCCCTTCACTGGGCGGGACATTCCAGAGCTGAGGGTCTGTCTGTGGCATTAGAAAAGAGCAAGAGTCCAGCAGCACCTTTTAAAGACTAGCAAAATTTGTGGCAGGGGGTGAGCTTTCGTGAGTCACAGCTGTGACTCACGAAAGCTCACCCCCTGCCACAAATTTTGCTAGTCTTTAAAAGGTGCTGCTGGACTCTTGCTCTTTTCGACGGGGATGGCATGGATTGTCTAGGCATACGCCAACACCTGTCATGCCTCAGTTTAGGACTCATTTAGAAACTCTTTGCCCCACACTCAGGTGTGTGAGAAATGGTTCTTCGGAGGTGTGGGGAAAGCATTCTGTTCTGTGCTTGTTCGGAAGTCCGCTTCCTTCACAAGTGCACTCCATTTACTGCGACTTCTCAAGGCCCGAGGCTGAAACTCGGCTCTGAAAAAGAAACTGACGCGGCACAAAACTCCTTCCGTTCTGTAACAAGGGGCTTCGGAAGAGAAACCGCAGCAGCCTCACCTTCACCATCCGTAGCATCCAGCTCAAGACGCCTCTCCAGGGTGACCGCGGCCTCGCTCCCTGGGCCGGGTTTCGGCTCCAGGTTCTGAGCCACCCTCGTGTACTTTGTGTACCATTCATTCCGCTCACCGACCAATCGCATCACCAGCTCTTGGAGCTCCAGTAGCTTCATCTGCAACAGAGGAGGACGATGGGGAAGAATCAAACCACGAGTGCCCACTTGGCCCAGAGACTACAGAGGATGCCAAATGCCTCCCCCCCTCTTCCTCAGCTATGCTGCCATTGGGCACTTTGAACCCTTGGACGCAGCAGGCTTAAGGAGACCCCTCCCCTCCCCCCTTTGGTGGGCACGTAAACTCCCCAGTGTGAAGCTGCAGCCTGCGTTTGGGCTCCCCCTGCTGAGCCTGTAAGCCAGGACCACAGATCTGCAAGCCAAAGCCCGGCTCAGGTGGCACCGCTGTTCCTAAACTTGCACAGGAGCATACAGACAGACGTGGGGATTGAGTCAGTTGCGGCAAGTTCCTAGTCCTCCATGTGAAAGACCCTTGCATTTGTCTGCACATTCTCGCCCCTCGTCAAACCCTCTGCTCGGCCTGCACGCATCGCTAATGGCCTCCTTTCCTCGCCACGGCGACAACCATCTCCCTCAGTGCCACTTGTTGAGGGAGGCCTCTCTCTTTATAACATCTGTTTCCTTCAGCCTGACCTGGGATCCCTTTTGCCTCTACGCCTCACCTTCCGCCCAGTGACCTCTCCAACCTCCCTGTCCTTCCTCTCCTCCTATCGAGCCTAGTCCCCCCCTCCCATTACTCGACGGCACCTACTAAATCATGGCTGCTACATGAATTCCAAAAGAGCCATAGCTCCCTTCCATACAGCTGAACCACTCGTGCAGACGGGCGGGAAGGGCGTTCCCATCGACACCAAGAGGCCCAAAGGCAGCTTCAGGGATGAGTGCGTGGAGACTCCATGGGGACCAAGGCAAAGTGGTCCTCACTAACTCCTACCCTTCTCTACATTTTAGAGGGGCTCCCCACCAGTGTTCCCTCTAAGCTGAGTTAGTGTGAGCTAGCTCACAGTTTTTTAGCCTCCAGCTCACACATTTTTGCCTTTGCTCAGGAAGGAGGGCTCCAGAGCAAACTAATTTATGCGGCAGCCAAATCGCTGGCTCACACCTTTAATGCCAGCAGCTCACAAAGTAGAATTTTTGCTCACAAGACTCCTAAGCTTAGAGGGAGCATTGCTCCCCACACCCCCCGGTACTGGATTTTTAACGAAGTGTTTTGGAATAATTCCGCAGAACTGACCTGCACCGTTTACTTCTGTCCAGGGGTCGTTTCGTAGAAAAAGAGCTAGGGGACCTCATTAGCATAACTCATTAGCATATGCCACACCCCCTGACATCAGGGGCCCGGCGGTGGACCTGCAAGGCCAGCGGGAGTGCAAGGAAGCCCCGCCAAGGCCCTCCCTGGCCCCAGGCAGGCAGGGGTGGGGAGAGGCGGGGAGGGAGGAACTTACCCTCCCTCTTCTCCTGCCTCCTCCTGGCTGAATGAGGGCTGGAAGCGGGGCGGCCGGAAGCAGGGGGCGGGGCTTCATCATGTGCCCCGCCCCCCTGTACCTCACCCGGGGGAACTGCGATCCCCCGCGATCCCCCCCGAAATGACCTCTGCTTCTGTCAATATGCTTAAGAGCTGCCTTTCCCTCTCCCGGAGGTGCTCTCTGTCTCCTAAAGCGAGTGGCGCACTTGGGCTCAGGTATCACCACCACCACCCCCAAAGTAATCAGAGTCCTTGAAAAAACAACTTGTCACGAAAGAAAACTGTCATCTGGTTCATACATGCAGGTGGTCAAGTGTGGGGTCAAAAGGGAAACAGCTGTGCTGAGGCTTAAAGAGGGGGGGGGGCAGCTTGTTCCTTTCCCAGGCTTGTGCCAGACCCTGCTAAAGAAGGGGCCGCTGCACTCCAGAGTAGCCTATGGCTCGGCAGAGTTCGGAAAAGACAGGGTTAGGGATGCAAACCCAGATGCAAACGACAAAGCACCACACGTCCCCATTCTGTCTGCGTCCTTCCCACTACATTTGTGTGAAACAACGAGAACACACTCTTATGAACGTATGAAGGTGTGCCATGCAAGTTCCAAGCCAGACAGCAGGGGTCTGATTCACTATCTGGCAGCGACTCTCCAAGGCTGCAGGCGGAGAAGGGTCTTTCCCAACACGAGACCTCTGAGAACTTGTATTAACTGGAAGTGCCGAGAGCCAGACCTGGGACCTTAACCACATTTTAATCAGGCCCTCCACCACTGAGCCATGGCCCTTCTCCTGGGCACCGGGGGGAGGCCAACGCTCACCTTCATCTCCTCCTTGTCCTGAGCCAGTCTGCTGATGTACTCCTCTTTCTCCCGGTGCCGCTGCTTTAGAATAGCCCTCTGACTCTGGTACAGGGCAATATATTCACCTGGGAGATGGGAGAGACGCGTGAGGCAGTGAGACACGGCTATCAGGAGGGTGGCACTGGAACCAGACATGCTGGCCTTCGTAGATTCAAATTTGCACCAGCAGACCACGAGCACGTTTGGGATGTTCTAGAAAACCTCTGAGAAAACCTCTGTTCTAGCAAGACAGCCTCTGAGAAGAGGCACGGTTTCATGCACCACGGGCCAAATTCACAAATTCTGCAACATCCAACCTTCACTGCCAATTAGAAAAAGCCAGGCATAGCTCTGGAATTCTGCAAGCTTGAACACATATTGTGTCGCGAGAAGAATCTGAGTAACTTTCTCCTATGCATGCTTTGTTCCGCAGAAACACAAGAGGGAGAGGCTGGCACAGGGAGAGAGGAGACAACAAGACTGGCACTGTTTTAAAATTTGCTTGAAGTTGTGTGTGTCGGGCGAGGGGCAGAGAAAACACAAAGGTGACAAAAAGGGGAAATGGATGAGAAGGGGCAGGAATCCTGCTCCTTGACCACTGGACTCTCCCACTCTGCTCGCTGCCTTGGTAACCCTGAGGACTAGAAGACTTCGCATTTTTAAGAACATAAAAGCAGAAGTCTTCAGGACGGCAGAGGAGCTTATTGCAGAATCCTAGAATCACAGAGTTGGAAGGGGCCGTAAAGGCCATCTAGCCCAACCCCCTGGCTCAGTGCAGGATCAGCCTAGAGCATCCCTGACAAGTGTCTGTCCAGCCACTGCTTCAAAACTGCCAGGGAGGGGGAGCTCACCACCTCCCTGGGCAGCTGAAAGTGTTTCCTAAGATCCAGCCGGTCCCTTCCCGCCCTCAATTTAAACACATGCTTGCGAGTCCTCTCCTCTGCTGCCAACAGGGATAGCTCCCTGCCCTCCTCTAAGGGACAGCCCTTCAAATACTTCAAGAGAGCAATCATTTCACCCCTCAACCTCCTCTTCTCCAGACTGGACATTCCCAGGTCCCTCAGCCTTTCCTCCTAGGGCTTCGTCTCCAGGCCCCCTGATCATCCTCATCGCTCTCCTTGGCACCTGCTCCATTCTGTCCATATCCTTTTTGAAGCTGAGGCCTCCAGAACTGTGCGCAGTACTCCAGGTGTGGCCTGGCCAATGCAGTGTACACCAGGACTATCACATCTTGCAATTTGGATGTTATGCCTCTGTTGATACACCCCGAGATCACATTAGCCCTTTCTGTCGCTGCATCACACTGGCTGGTCATATTTAACTTACAGTCCACCTGCACCCCAAGATCTTGTTCACACACACTGCTACCCAGGAGCGTATCCCCCATCCAGTATGTGTCTTCCTCATTTTTGTTACCCGGTTGTAGAACTTGGCACTTATCCTTGTTGAATTGCACCTTGTTCACATCCTGGTCAGGACGGAGGTGTTGGCCTAAAGCATGATAAAGTGTAGCATTACTGGATCCCTGCAGCAGAACAGAATGTGGGAAAGGCCCTGAATTCATCTCACCGATGGTGTCTGTTTCTCCAGACAACTGAATGCAGCGGTGCTCCAGCTCCTCCACCCGGTCCTTCAGCTCTGCCTTCTCACGCATCAACTCTGTGAAACGGGACTAAAAGCACAATAACTATGAGCAGGGCCTTTTTTTTGTAGAAAAAGCCCAGCAGGAACTCATTAGCATAATAGGTCACACCCAACAGCAGAAACCCATTAGCATATTAGGCCACACCCCTGACAGCACAGCTCATTGGCATATTAGGCCGCACCCACATGTTACCAGAAGTGTGGTCATCCAGCCACACCCACCTTTTGCTTCTTATTCTGTTTACCTTGTTTGTGGTCAAAACCCAGGGCTTTTTTTGGAGCAGGAACTCCTTTGCATGTTAGGCCACACACCCCTAATGTAGCCAATCCTAATGAGTTTCTGCTGTTGGGTATGGCCTATTATGCTAATGAGCTCCTGCTGGGCGTGGCCAACTCAGGAGCCAGCCGGAACTCCGTTCCTGTGCGTTCCTGCCCAAAAATAGCCCTGACTATGAGCCACTGAAGTGATATTAGGGAGAAAAACAAGGGCAGCAGCTGAGGCTCTCCTGCGTAGCTGCTAGCGCTGCTTCCGGCAAGGCAGAAGCAAAGCGGGGCAGCTCCTAACTGCATGGCAGGGAGAAAAGTCCCTTTGCTCCTCTTCTCTTGGAAGCGGTGGAGTCTTCCATTCTTGGAAGTCCAGGAGCAGCAGAAACCACCCGCTTAGGCAGGTCTGGGCTCTCCCCACTGCTTTCCATGGGAAGACATTATTAGAGAACCCCAATTGCAGCGACTTCAGGCAAATCAACACATTTCTGTCTGGCTGCACAACTCTCTCCAGACGGATACTCCACGATTCTCAAAATGGATTCCTTACAAATCCTCCTTGCCTCTTACAAACTTAAGCAAAGTGTATTAACACCACCAAAGTGCAGTTATGTACTGAACCATTTACAGGGAGAGCTGCTACTTTGCTTCATTCTGCCTGCATGATGCAGCTCAGAAATCAAAGGGGGATGGCAAAGGGCATCCATAGTTCCTTCAGCAGACCTGGTCATCACATAAACCTGGCCATTAAGCGTAGGGATGCCTAATGCACAGACCAGAGGTCTGCCGCCTCTCTAGAGCTGGCACATCTGTGCAGTCACAACCCATGTGCACCAAGCAGTCACCTGCAGCTTCTCCATGGCACTCTTTAAGGCTTCGTGAACCTCTCCTGGAACCGAATCTGCAGCAGGACCTGGAAAAGATGAGGCAACTGAATGAGAGATGGCAGAACGGGGTAACCTTGTGGCCCCACCTACGGGGTGGGGTCCCCGCCGGGCTGCCTGCATAGCCAGCCTTCAGCATCTTCTTGCTTGAACAGGCCTGTCCACACACCCACCTGGTGCTCCTGACGCAACGTGCAGCTGCTGCTCTTTCCTCAGTGCAGCTATCTCCTGCAGGAGGCCTCTGCACTGCCTCTTCTGCTCAGCCAGCTGCTGCCGCATCTCCTCACGCTCCTGCTCCACTTGGGACACGGAAGACGTCAAGAACGCAACCTAAGGCACAATTCCACATGCTGTTGTTTGGCACGAATGTTGTGTTAAACAGTGGCCTGGCCTCACAGGAAGAACTACATCTGTTTGATACAGAGCAAAGAATTCAGGAAGGTTCTTCTCTGTAGCTCCCTACTCCAAGGCTTCCCTGCACAGCTCTCCAGATAGTAATTATGGCACTATGTGCTGGGGAATAAATTATGTTCCAGGCCCTCATAAGGAAGCCCTTAAAAGTGCGTGCATACAACAAGTGCAAAGAAACAGGAGAATTTTTGCCTTCACAGGACTGGCCAATTCTGATAAGTCAGAATCCTCTTTTTCTGTGGCCACATGCCATCTCCAGCTTTCACGCACAACAAAGAATCCCTTAGGGGAAAAAGCAGGTATATATTTTCTAGAAAAGCCACCGAGGGAAGCTGGCGATGTGAACTGAAGCTCCTGTACTGGTGCTTACCAGCCATGTGGGCCACGGCACTGCACCATTCATGCACAACTAGACTGCAGAGGTCAGAAAAACCAAAAGAGCCAAATCTTAAATGTGTCCATTCGTAATTGTGACAACCAGGGGTCATTTCCTGCGGGAGCGCACAGGAGCGGAGCTCCAGCAGTAAGGCACTCAGGGGGCGGGCACATGCAACAAGCCTCGCCCCCTGCTCCCAGCAGCCCTCAGTCGGGCCACGAGGAGCAAGAGCCCACCCACCCCTGGCCCGCCTTCAGGTACAAGCTCTCCCTCCTCTGTGAGGGCAGATCTGCACGTCCCCCCCCCATAGCTAGCAATCCAAAACAGTCCAGTGGAGCCTGAGCGGTGGGTGTTGCCTTCTGACACACTCCCGGTGATGTCAGGGGGTGTGGCATATGCATATACTAATACTAATGAGCTCCTGCACCTCTTTTTCTACGAAATGACCCCTGGTTACAACACTTAGCGTTTCTTATTCAGGAACCTGTCGATATGACACCTGAACTCTGTTGCCTCTGGACTCAAACTTTGTTCTGCTGCTTCAGACCAACACGGCCACCCACCTGAAGGTAAAAGCTTTAAAAACTAGTACGGTAACATCAATGTTAAAAAGTACAGTGACAGCAAACAGGTAGCTGCAAACAACAGGCCAAAGGACCACCACAGAACTCAGGAGTAAAAACAGCACTTAAAACATGCAAACAGCAGTAAAAAATAAAATCAACAGGTGAGATTGTGGGAGATCAATTCAACCAGGACACAAAAAGGCTTAAATACAGAATATGAAGGAAATATCCCGTCTGTAAGACCAAATCCAGCAATGAAGCAACTTGCTAGGAAAGTTGTGACAATTCATTACATTGCTCTGTCTCTCCATACAGAATTTCGAGGTTGACAGCGGGGAGGGGGGTTGTGGCTCAGAGGCAGAGCATATGTTTTGAATGCTGGGAGTCCCCAGGTTCAGACCCTGGCCTCGCCATTCAAAAGGACCCAGGAAAGACTTCCCTCTGCCTGGGGCCCTGGAGAGCCGCTATGAGTCAGAAGAGACAACACTGATAAGCCAATTATTTGACCCAGTTCCAAGGCGGCTCCATAAGCTCAATACCAGAGTTTCCAAGCTCTCCCTCATCCGAGGCTGCTTGTCTCACCCACTCCCAGTTACATTTTGTGTGCTTGAGTGTTTGTGGAAAGCAGGAAGGCCGGTATATGCCAAGACTCACCATCTCTTCTCTGTCTTCAAACTCCTCTGGGATGATGAGTGAGGTCTTCATGTCCTCCACAGTCTCCTCTTCAGTTTCCACGCCATCCCCTACGTAGGCAAAAGCAGAGGCACAGAGCTGGAATATCCTTCAGGGATCAGCCCGACCACGTCCCTGCTAGTGAACAGCCCGCTCGCTCACCTTCTGCCCTGGGCAACATCTTTGCATCCAGTTCGGCCATGAGCTGGCTGACATGGGCCTGCAGCTCTTTGTTTTCTTTGGCAACTACCTCCAGGCTTTCCTTCAAGAGACAGGGAGAGAGAGAGAGAAGAGAACAGTGTAATAAATACCCCCAAGCCTTCAGAATGCTGATGAGACTAGCAGCTAACAAAGCTGCATGTGTTTCCTTGCATCAGCAGAACGGCACAGGACCTGACCTGAAGAGACAAATGCTTAGAAAGCTTCATCGTTTTGCTAACCCAGCATCTAAGTCTGGAGTTCCACGATGCCAGCTTCCCTCCCCATGAACTCTGGACCTTGGCCTGGCCAAACCCAGAACTGCACACTCAAGCTGCGGTCACACAGACTAAATAATCCACTTCCAATCCACGTTCCAACTGGATTTCGCCAGTTCACACAGTACCAGTTGGAAAGTGCACTGAAAGTGGATTGAAGGTGGCTTATTCAGTGTGTGTGTGACCGCAGCCTTATTTTTACAAAAGTTAACAGAAAGGCACGCCCATCTGTAGGTATTCCCAATACCAAATCAAATTAACCTGGTGCAGACTCTGGATGACTGTGCCAGTCTCAGCCATGACATTCTGCCCGCCGTGCAGACCGAAGCCTCCTGCCCCACCCCCCGGCACTGATGCCCCCAGCCCAGCTCCGCCGCCCTCACTCACCTTGGCCTCCTGCAGCTCTTTGAAGTGCACCTCTGCCGTCACTTTGCCCTGGACCTCCTCGTGCTGCAGGCGGTCCATGAGCTGTGTCTGGAGGAGGTACTGTTTGTGCAGCTCCTCCTTCTCGCTGGCGAGGTGCTGGTACGCGGCCGTGTACTGCTGAAGGTGGCCGTAGTACTGGTCCCGCTGCTCCTGAAGGGCCTCGGCTTCTCTCGTTTTCTGGTCCACCTGGGCGAAGCAGAAACCAGACCGTCACCAGACCCCCTCAGTGGCCAGAACGACAGATTCCCTCTTCCCCATCTGGCCTGAGTTCCACGATGGCAGGCGACAAATGAATGAATGAATGTGAATGAATGAATGAATTAATGAATGTGTCGACATGCGGGAAGACGCAAATGGGGCTCATGCCAAATCCTTAGAGACAGCGACAAGTTTAGACTGCAGGACCGTGTGTGGGAGCAGATAGATGGATGGATGGATGGATATAGATAAATATATAGATAGATATAGATTGATAGATAGATGATAGATGATAGATAGATACCAGTTCAGAAGGGGGTGAAACAGGGTTGCGTGCTTGCACCCACCTTGTTCAGCCTTTATCTGAACAATTTAATTGCCAGCTTGGAAGGTAGTGAATTTATGCCTCCGACTATTGGACAACTTAAAGTGCCAATTCTTTTATACGCGGACGATATGGTCCTTTTATCTGTTACCAAGATTGGCCTGAGGAGATTATTGAACAAACTAGGCGAGTATTGCAAGGCAGAAGCCTTGCAAATAAACTACGCCAAATCCAAAGTTCTGGTATTCAGGAAAAGACCTAAGAAATCCAGATGGATCCTTCTTTTCTGCAAATCAGTTGTAATTCTGGGAGATCTTACTTGTGAGATGGTTTAGGCTGAGAGTGAGTTACTGGCCCAAAGTCCACTCAGGCTGTGGTCACACATACTTTCAAACTGGATTTTTCCTGTGTGAACTGGCAAAATCCAGTTGGAAAGTGGATTGAAAGTGGATTATTTAGTGTGTGTGACCACAGCCTCAGTAAGATTCCATGGCAGAGTAGGGATTTGAACTTGCATCTCCCAGATCTTGTTCCACCACTAACCACTACACCACACTGTCTTCCCTTTTTGAAGGTGTTGAGAGAATAACTGGGAAGGGAAAGTGGGCTTGCAATGCAGTCCTAAACCCTTCCAAGCGTAGTGTGTTGGTGTCTCTGTACTGTGATCTCCTGTTTGCTAGCAACTGGGGACAGCCTTGGAATGGCTGTTGTGGTAATCATCCTTTAAAAGTCCTGCCTCTCCTTCAAGGCTCTGAACCAATCATTGTGATTTCAGCTTCCTGCAAATCAAGTGATTGTCAGCCAATGAGAGCCCATGGAATTCTACTGGATGGGAGGGGGTGAGCCACCCTCAGTTTAAGAAGGGTGAAGGAAACTTTTTCCTTTGGATAGGGATTTGTGACTCTGGAAAGGAGCGTCAGCTTAGCTGGGCTTTTATTTAGCTGTTAGTTAGGGTTTCAGGGTCTGCTTAGGGAAGGAAGCTTATTTTAGTGGTACAAATAAGCATCCTTTTAAGGGCCCATCATTCCTAAACGGCGTGGGTAGCAGAGCAGCCTTGAACCTGCTGAGGCAATCTGACAAGAAACGGGGAATCAAATCTCCATTCTGGGTTTATTTAATTTACTTGAGAGCCAGTTTTACTATATATGCTGAAGTCATTCACACATAATATTTACCTTATTAAATACTTTATTTTCTGGGATTCAGCGCAAGTTAGTGAAGGGATAACTTAATGTGATGTATAAGGATTGTGTTTGTATTTATGTTTTGTTATGGCCAATGGCTAATACAATAAACTTGATGATGATGATAGATACACAGATGATAGACAGATAGATAGACAGATGATAGACAGACAGACAGACAGAGAACGATAATTTATTACGGCATCCAGCCAGTAAATCAACAGAATCACACTGATGTTAAAAAACATACTGACTACAGCAATAAAATAGCTAGAATAAATACAAAGGATATATTAAAATACATAAATATTACATAAAATATAGGTCAGCAGATCAGCTTAGAACTAAAACTTGACTGAGCGGGCTTTTCGAATATAGCAGCAGGCGGTACAGAATTTGGCAACAGCTTTAGAGGTAGGCTGATTTTCACCTGACAGCAAATAGTTGATATAATCAGATTCTGTCATATCAGGATTTAGTTTTACAATAGCCTCCTTGTACCAGGAACACCTGAGGATCATATGCGAGATAGTTCCAACTTCCCCTAAGCCGCATCTGCAAAGCCTGTGTGCAAAGAGAATTCCCTTGCTCCTGCCCTCAAGCACCGCTGAGGGGAGCGCTGAACACCCGGCCAAAGTGACCGGAGTCCAAAGGTGACTGGAGTGGATGGGTAGGCTCATATGGGAGGAGGTCAATATAATCATCCCAAACTGAGCCTGAACGCAAACTGGGAGGCACTGTTGAGTTTAGCTTATTTCGATGTAAAACCAGTTTAAAACCTTTCCACGTACAATACTAGGATCAGCAAATAAATGTAAAGGTGTCATTATAGTCCAGCCTTGTTTAAGGACTAGGGATACAGGCTCTACGACCCACTCCAGTCTACATTCCGGTTGCTGCATTCTGTACCAACTGTTGCTCCCAGGCAGTGTTCAAGGGCAGAGGACGCTACATGAACCTAGTCTAGACGCCACCAAGGCGTGCCCTACGGTGACGCGATCTACTGGCCTCCCCTGCTGAAGCTTCCATCCTCAAACGGCCCATCAGGTAAAGGCCCACAGGTTGGTCTACAGCCAAGCGGCTCCAGTTTTTGCGGCTACCATATTAAGCCGCTGTGCCACCCGTTTTGTTCATAGCTCAGTTTAAATCTGTTTTAATTATTTATTATGGATAATTTTTATGAAGTGTTTTAATTCTTACTGTGAAATGTTTTAACTTTTGCCGTCATCCGCTCTGAAGCCGTTTGCGGGGAGGACGGAATATAAGCCAGAATAAAATAAGTAAGTAAATAGACCTCTCCTGCCCAGGAAGGGCCACAGCTGGCTCACCAGCCAAAGCTGCACGAAGGCACCCCTGGCCGCCACCACTGCCAACAGGAGGCCCGGGCCCAGGAGCGCCCCCAAGCTATGAAGCTGCTCCTGTAGACTGAGTGCAACCCCCATCCAGAACAGGAAATATCTCACTCCTGGGCCAAACCTTCCCCCACCAGAAGTAACCCCACAATGTCAGGATTACGCTTCAATTTGCTAGCACTCACCCACCCCAAAACGACCTTCAGGCACCTGATCATGGTTTCCACATTTTAGACTTTAAGCTCTGCAGTGCATGGGACTTTCCTTCTTCGGATTACTCTATACAGAGCCTTACCCGGAGAAGGTACTATGTGTATATACTCAACCCCCACCCACCCCCAGAAATCAGCACCTTCTAGATCAAACCATCTTCCCTGTTTTTAGAAGACTCTGGTCTTTTCTTGGTGGGTTTTTTTTTGTTTGTTTTTCGTGTGTGTGTGTGTGTGCACGTGTGTACACCTGGAAGTCATGGCGACCTCTGGTGACGCTTGCCTGGGCTACCCAGGTCAGAGCAGAAGACTCCGGTCTCTGTTAGGCATTGAGGGGGGAGTGCACGCGGAGAACCTGGTGCTTCTCGGTACCCGTCCTGCCTTTGCTGCAGCACTCTCTGAGGGGCTCTCCTGGCATCAATCATCCACATTCCCAAGCAGCACCCAAGAACTTCAGAAATATAAAATCTTGGCCTAATTTTACTGCTGCCCCTTATTTAGTTAACATTACCTATGAGCCCTACAGATGGGCCTTTCCCAGAGCCCGTTTTGAGGCACTCCCTTCCGCTGTACTGCAAGGTAAACTCACTCGCGTTCCAACGCGCGAATGTCGATGCCCATGCGTGGCTAATACGGTGGAATCAGTTACTCACGCCCTCCTGTTCTGCAGATTCTGTCAGGAGGAACGAGACCATCTTATCCTACCCCTTCTGTCTAGACTTAGCCCTCTGCAGTCTTAGCTTGACTTTAGGCCAGAAGCCCTTCGTAAATTCCTCCTAGAAGACGTTCAGGGCCTCAGTGACTTACGCTGTCGCAAAATGTTGTTGCTTAGCTATTAGGAAACGTAAACTTATTTTAGCTGGGGAAATTGTATGGTTCTCTTATTAATATTTATTTTATTAAATTTTTTATTAAAATTATTATTTGAATAATTGTATCAATTCTTCTCTTGTTAATGTTTTTAATACTATTCCTATGTTATTACTGTTTTAATCTTTCCTATATCAGAGTTGTACGGCTTTACTGGCTCTTGCTGCAATAAATTAGATCAGATCAGATCCTCAAGCCGCCCGGCAGGGGCTCACCGTCTCCTTGAGCTCTGCCAGCTTCTCCTGCAGCTCCCCGATCTTTCTTGCCAGCTCCTTCTTCACGTGCTGCTCGGACTGCAAGGCACTCGTCACCTCCATGTTCTCATTGGTCTGCGAAGGAACAATGCAGGTCAGGAGGGGCGAGAACCAAAACCTCCCCTGAGGCTTGTCGAAAAGGAAACGGGCGGAGGGGGAGAAATGCACTTTCCTACAATTAAAGCCCTGTCAATATTCTTGCCAAAGGTTGGACTTGTTGGGAGACGCCTAGGACGGTGTAGAGGGATGAACGTTAGGGTCAAAAAACCACAGCCTTTACATACACTCCGATGGAATATCAACTGGCAATAACTCAATATCAACTGGCAATGGAATATCAACTGGCAATAAATCAAAACAAGGACAAACAGATTAAAAAACAGTTTTTATTCAAGAGCTATTAT